GCATTTTTTGTTATTGCTTTGCAAGTTCTTCAATATCTTGCTATTGCTGTATTTATTACCAGAGAAAAAAAAATGAAAGATTATTTTTTCCAAATGAATAAATAACCACAATTCTTGTTCAGTATTTATCTACTTGTATATACAGGGAAAGATTCAATTGTATTGATTTAAAAACAAGAATTAAAATGCAAAATATGAATAATAATAAAAAAAAGAAGCAATTTAATGACTCTTAAGTAATATGCAATACTAGAGAGGCATGGAATTTAAATAGTTTGTTTATATATACGCTTTATTTTATAACATGAAACTACACGGGCATTTTATGAGATTAAGATTAAGGCAGTAAATAAAATACTTTCGAAGTTTTTAGATGAAACATTCTCATTATTATTTTTTATTTTTGACTATTTTTTTTTTTTTGTATTCAGTCAGTCAGTTAAGTGCCATACATGATACATGCTTAGGCAATCATGTATCTTTCAATACATGACTTACGAGGCAGATTTTTTTCCTTCAGTAGGTTGCTATTTCTTTCTGCGGTAGACCAGTTGCCATCCAAGGCTATAGAACCTGTTCTGTCCTGCTATTTACCTATAGCAGGGGGAGAAGTAGAGGATTCATACCTTTCCCAAGGGTATTAGTACATAAGTGAATGTAATGGAATTGAATGGAATTTGAACTCTGCTCTCCAATTCCTCAATCTGAGCCACTATCCATTACTCCACTGTTAAGATTTTAAAATAAACAACAAAAAGAAAAAGTAGCAAAAGAAAATGAACAAAAATAGAACAGTTATATTTTTTGACCAGAAAAACAAGCATGAATTACAATCTTTCCAATCTTTGACAAAAGTCTACTCAAACCATTTCATCATTTTCAAGGACCCTCTTATTTAAGGAAAGCCTCTTGCAGTATTGACAAACAAACAGGCCTGTTCCTGGTAATTAACATGTTTCACACATAACAGATGCATCACCAACAACCTCAGCTCAACTAACACATCTGCTGGGAGAGAGAGGGAGAGAGATGTTAAAAATCTCTCTGAACTACTATCTTGATGTTCCTTTCCACTATAATATGGCAGCATCTCCCTGTTGCACTAAGAGAAGAAAGATCATAATGGTGGGATGTTAAAAGCAAGTACTCTGGGAACTGGTCAGTTTTTGTCCTGTATCCCATGTACATGTGGAGACCCCATTTTAAGCTGACCATGTATCAAATTGGCCCTTATGGCAAGGCAGATATCAGTTAATATTTTGATATGATTTATTCAAGAGCCTCACCCATCTTTGGTATGACGATAAACTACATTTGCATTCTGGGTAAGATGATGAACTACATCTAACACAAGACCTCTGATCAGGAGGTATCGAGGAGCGTGGAACCACCTCTTAATTGCTGGTGTTCCCAGGTCCACCCTGACCTGGGGTGGTGGCACCTGTTAGGGCCCCAGGTATGGGCAAATAGTTAACCCCCAAACTGGGGTCAAAACACTATGAAAGTATAAAAATAGGTCTTAATACCAGAAATACTTTGTAAAAAAAAAAAAAAAAAAATTATTACCAGCAATACATTTTTGGAAACAATATTACCAGCTATACATTTTTGAATTGAAGGAAAAATATTACCAGCAATGCATTTTTGAAAAAAAATTATTACCAGCAATGCATTTTTGAAAAAAAATTATTACCAGCAATGCATTTTTGAAAGAAAATTATTACCAGCAATGCATTCTTTGAAGAAAATTATTACCAGCAATGCATTTTTGAAAGAAAATTATTACCAGCAATGCATTTTTGAAAAAAAATTATTACCAGCAATGCATTTTTGAAAGAAAATTATTACCAGCAATGCATTTTTGAAAGAAAATTATTACCAGCAATGCATTTTTGAAAGAAAATTATTACCAGCAATGCATTTTTGAAAGAAAATTATTACCAGCAATGCATTTTTGAAAAAAATTATTACCAGCAATACATTTATGAAGAAAAATATTACCAGGTATAAAAATTGTCATCATTAAATAACCCATTTTGGTTGATATGCCATAAACCAAACCAAACCAAACCAAACCAAACCAAAAGCCTCACAACTGAATTCTGATTTCCCTGGCACATTCTGATTACCGACTCTTTTTCTGTTTAATGTACAAACTGAAATGATTTATATTTTTAAATCAATCTTATCTCTTTTTACCTTATTACTAAACACTATACTACAATTGAAACTTATTATAATACATTATCTGTTATAAGAAATAGCAGAATAAAGCAGGATCCTTTTTGTTGTACTATCTTTACATGTTTTTTCAACATGAGTGCATTTGTACTTTAGCCATGTAAACAAAATGGAAGACTTAGTTATCTACAACATTTGCAAATGTATTGTTAGTCACATCCTTAAAAATCTACATTTTTTTTTTTTTTTTTCAATTATCATATTTGGTGGTATCGTCGGCATCTGCCCATCTCAAGAGACGATGGAATAGCGCAGTGCGTTACAAGCCTGGGTGGGATATATAGAGAACTAGGGCTGCCCAGATGTCTAGTTCCCCCTCTCGGCCTTGCTAGCAGAGTCCAAAGGAGAGGATAGAAGAGTTGCCAGAAGGTAGCACAAAGTGCCGTCCATCTGCCTTAGGGGCTCCACTCTGGGTTTGAATTCAGAGTTGTCCTTCTCTTAGACCAGTTGCCATCCAAGGCTATAGAACATTTGGTGGTATATAAGGCATGAAAATGGCTAAAAAATATCTCCCAGATTTCCCAGATGCCATAGGCTAAGTACAAGTACTGACAGTCTAACACTACAATCTAATAATAATAAATCTAGTGAGGGCTTATATAACAGCAGTAAAATAAGAAATTTAAATAATGTAGAAAATTTCTTTGGTATCAAATATCACAGTGGAGTGATTTAAAACTATTTTCCTTCTCAGAAAACCTATATCCTTTTCTAAGATAGTTTGGGAGGCTCCCTCAGAATTTAATCATTTCAGTTCAGGGAATTTCTTACAGAATTTATATTTTATATAAATCAGTACCACAAGGATATATTAATAGAACATCATCAATATATTGGAAGTATGTTGATTGTTTAAGTAAAATACACTGGAAAGGACCAGATTGTATGCTTTTATGCTTAGATCATTGAAAAAGCATCTATCACAAAGAATAAACCTCTCCTTACCAGTAGCTAAAATAATAAAAATCATCACCAATCAATGCTATTTCACATTTAACAATAATTCTTATGAACAAAAATTTGGATTACCAAAGGGATCACCCCTTGTGGAGTGATGGCATATATTTTCTTAGAATTTCTTCAATTTGGTCCTTTCCAAAATATTTTGCCTAAATAATCATATTATATAAGCTAAAATTCAAATTAATTCAGGAAATTTTTATCAATACACTTTGATCAGTCAGTTATGTGCCATACGTGATACATGCTTAGGCAATCATGTATCTTTCAATACATAACTGACAAGGCAGATTTTTTCCCCACAGGAGGTTGCCATTTCTTTCTGTGGTAGACCAGTTGCCATCCAAGGCTATAGAAACCAGTCTATCCTGCTATTTACCCATAGCTGGGGAAAGAAGAGGATTCATACTCTTTACCAAGGGTATTAGCATGTAATGTATTTGACTGGAATTAGAACTCAGCTCTCCAGTTCCTCAATCTGAACCGCTATCCATTACTCCACCATGACTCCCAATACACATTGAAAACAATTTTAATTAATCTCCATTAATTTCTTAATATTGGTCATTTTTTTTCTTTGGAATTCTCATAAGACAATGGCCATTATTAATGTTATGACTGCTATTGATAAGAATTCCTGAAAAAACAAATATAGCAACATTAAAGATCAATCAGAGTAAATGCAAAAGATCAGATTTGTTCATTTGCCAACCATAAGAGTTTCTGTAACTTAAACAGGCATAATCTTAACAATATAAGACATGCAGATGACACTGTATTGATAGTTGACTCAGAATAGAAACTACAGGACCTCTTAGTCAGGTTAGTAGAAGAATGCAAGAAAAAAAAAAGGACGAACCATTATCTACAAGAAGACAAAATATATGGTCATTAGTAATAGAAAAAGCCCAAGATGTGAGTTATGAATTTGAGATATAGACATCAATCACATATAGAAGTTTAAATATCTGGGAAATGTTTTAACAAAGGATAGAAAATGCGATGCCAAGATACGTACATGCATTGGAATAGAGATAAGAAGATTCCAAAAGCTAATCAAGGTGCTTAGAAATATAAAAGAATTCCTTACAAACAAAGAAAAGAGTGCTGGATTGCTATGTGATATTCTTCCTTTTATATGGCAGTGAATGTGCAAGGATGAGGAAAAAACTAGAGGCAAATTTGGTTCTACAGAAGAAAACTGAAAATTCCATCGACAACAGGAAGTATTAAGAAATGAATTATGAATTGTAGATGTAGACATCAAGCACATATAGAAGTTTAAATATCTGTGAAGTGTTTTAACAAAGGATAGAAAATGCGACACCAAGATCAGAACTCACATTATACTAGCAAAAAAAGCATTCCAAAAGCTAAGAAAGGTGCTAAAAATAATATGAATGGATAGTGGAGAGCCATGATCACCTATGGCCTGAAGTGACACAGCACATACAAGAAGCAGTATAACAGTTATTATGGAAAAACAGGCTATCTGAGGCAAAAAGTTTAAATATCTGGGAAGTATTTTATGAGCCACCATTCATTACACAACCCACACATCTGTATAATTGTATAAAGAAAGTTTAAACAATATGCTAACTAGAGATTTTTGCCAAAAGACTTTGTCAGTTGCTTCCATCTGAAGAGTAAGTTAATTCTTGAAGTAATGACTGAAGTATAGAATTGCTTCCTTCAATTTTAATGAGTTTAAGTTCTCTTTCAGGTAAATATGGGATGTTTTATCGGTTCATATTGCCAACTATTTCTTTTCTGAATGCCTTCTATTGTTTCACTTGCAGACACTGCCTGCCGTTACACAAGCAGATGAATTTGCTGCAGTTTCCATGACAGATATCATGAATGAATCACATGCTACCTGTAAGTAAAACTCTTTCTCTATCTTATCTAGTTAAAGTTGCAGGCTACCGTATCCTTCTGTAGTCATATTAGTTCTAATTTAGAACAGGGATTCTCAAAGTAGAGGCTAATTACCAGGGCCAGATTATGAACTTTTGGGTCCCCTAGGCTAATGAAATTATAGAGCCCACCTCAGACTGAGCCACACTCTAACTCACCTGCACCTGTCTTGATTATCTTTTACTCATAACATATTTTAGTGACATATAGCTTGAAGTAAACTTATTGCAAATTCTTTAAACTAGAATAGATATCTTTTGTTTGTCAATAAGAATATCCTTTAAGAAATACCACTATTTTACTACTTATTGCAGAGCAAATTAGCACACATTTCAATAGAACTAAAAAAAAAAAAACAAAAAAAAAACATTTTTTTTTCAAACCAGCATTATAACTAAGCTTTAGGAGCCCTATGCAGCAGCCTATACTAGTGCAGTGGCCTTTAGTAGCAGTAAATAAACCCTGTATCAGCAGCAGCTCAAATATAAAACCACATGAACCCTAAAGTAACCCTCTCTTTCTTCTGAGTTTCCTTTTCAAACTTCTGACATGAACTTTCCATGCTGAAGCTAAAAGAGCTGTGAAATACTTCACACAAAAAGATACCCACAATAAGTCATTCTATAACATATTCAAGAAGAATTCCTTAGGTATACTATTTACTTCTAAAAAACATGAAACTCTTATTTTAAACTTTACTTTTGTTAATTTTGTTTTAATAAATATCATCTTCTCATTGCAAATCAATTGGTCAGTTATTTTTGTGAGTGTGATCTTTACATCACCATTATTCCTTGTGCTAAAAGTATTCCCATAAGAAACCATACACATTGAATTATTGAAGTAGCTAATTGCTAAGCTAGCCTAGAGGATAATCCGGACTTGATAATTACTTCCCAAAGGAGTAATTTGATATTTTTCATGAAGTAGTCAACATTACTTGCAACTTACAAAAACATTATTTTTTTGGTACTTCTCGGACCAATGTTTTCAGCTGATATGAAGTAGAAAAATATATTGAATCAACTGCTAAGTATACATTTAAGAAAGTTGGTTCATTATGCCATGCTAAACAATTTTTCTCATCAGAATCTCTCTTAGATATTTATAAGTCTACCATTTGTCCTTGCTTTGAATATTGCTGCCACATCTGGTCAGGTGCTCCTGCTATATATTTAGATATTCTCAATAAAATCCAAAGAAGAATCTGCAATGTTATTGGTCCTGATCTGACATCTCAGCTTCAGTCTCTTTCCCACTGATGAAACATTGCTTTCCTGTGCCTTTTCTATGAATACTTTTATGGTAATGGGTCTGATGAACGTTCCACTATGGTAGCCAAACATTATGAATTTAAACACAGTACTAGATTGTCAGAAAGGTTTCATCATTTTACAGTTGAAATGGCTAGATGTAACTGTATGTTTCTTTTATCACATTTCTCACTTGTGAAACTCTCTTCCAGCTTCTTGCTTCCCAGTCAACTTTAATCTTCAAAAATTTAAATGCAATGTCAATCGTTATCTTCTGTCTTAATTCTTGTTCTTTTATTGTCCTCTCTTTTTTATAGTAGTTTTTCTCATATTTTCTAACACTCAGTAACACCTTGTGCCCTCATGGCTTTATTGCCTTGCTTGAAGTGAAAAAAAAAGTAAGAAAAGCCCCCCCCCCCCAAAAAAAAATTGACTATTAATTATGAAAAGACAGAAAACACATGGAAGGCCTAATGAGTGAAGACTAAACAAGGGAAGAAATTAGGGTTAGAGTAGTGTCATAAACAAAGCATGATACAGAAATTTAATGGTGTATATGAAGAGCAAAAGACACATTTAAGAAACAAATGATTGAAAAATAACATTAGAAACCATGAAAAAAAAGAGTGCTAAACTCTTATATAATGTCAACCCTCTTATAGGGCAGTGAAAGCCGAACCATTTTCTCACATATGAAGAAAAAAAAAAGGACCTAATGTAACTAAGATGTGGTTCTAATGACTAATGTTAAAAATACCATAGACAGAGTATGCCAAAAATTAGAAAGTTCTAAAGAGAATAGGAGCTACAAAGAAACAGTTTCTGTCAGTTGACATTTTAGGGATATGTAATAAGGAAAGAAAGCTTAGAGAATTTAACACCTCCAAGTCAATATATGATGATACCAAAATAGACTTTACACTCAGTGTCACACCAGAGCATCAGAGAATCCAGGTGCATCAGCAAGTTAACCTGGAAAGTAACCTCCTAGCTACCAAGTACAGAGTTATGCTTCACATGATATCAGTAGCTGCCATGACATATAAACAAGTGATCAGTCTAGTTGTTTTTAGGATGTGGTACAATCAGATGAAAGGAAGATATATGTGCAAGAGTGAGAAGACAGAGTCTCTCTCACATCTTTACAAGAAGAATCCAAGTTCAAAAAAAGTCCACAAAGCCACACACTCTTCTGCTGATATTAATCAATGAAGTCCAGAAGGGAATAAACAATAATTCTATTTATGAAAGATTCAATTTTGTGTGCTTAATAGTCTTTACAATGATAACATTGCAATTGTGTTAATAGTATGTGATAAATTTAAAAAAAAAAATATAATATATATTATATAATATAAATTATAATGTCTAATCCTATATACAGAGATATAAAAAAAGTAAGCAGCTGCCTCTATTTTCAACCAATCTTTTATTCAATTATTTAAACAATTCAAAAAAATTTTATTTTTTTAAAATAATTCTTGTTTTCCTTTGTTAATTTGCCATTAGAATATATTAAATTTATCAAATCAGCTGTCTTTCCCAGTGAGATATCCAAGCAAGCTTCATTCAAAAGACAAATTAAATTTTCTTTTGTAGAAGTTTTTAAATGTATTCTTTTTATTTCATGATCGAAAATAAATGTCCATTAGGATTCATATCAGGAGACTGAGCCACAAGCATTACTTGATATCTTTTTCATTAACTTCTGTTTATGTGTCTTTTTCTGTATAGTATAGCATTTCATTCTCCATTAGAAGTGTTATCTTTTAAAATGTGTTATAGGATATTTGAAGAAATCAATTCTGAAAAAATATTGATTTTTATGACTTGATTTTCTTACGCACCCAAGAAACTTTGAAAATACAATTTCCCAAATTACCCTTTACACTGTGCAGTTACACAAAAATATAAAATAAAGATAACCTTTTTCCCATCATGCAAAAGAAAAACAAGAGGAAACAGAAAGGCTTTAATCAGCTGATTGTGACCACAAAAAAAGGCTTTAATCAGCTGATTGTGACCACAAAAAAAAGGCTTTAATCAGCTGGTCACAACCACAAAATTTCAAAACAAGACTTTCCCTCTTATTTATCTTTGCCAGGATTAAATGTAGGTTTATAGACCTGTCATGAAAACTAGATGGAAGAAGTACAGACTCATTTCATACTTTCACCTAGACCACAATGCCCATTTACTTTATTTGCATTTTATTTCTAGCAGTTAAGAAAGAAATCCTGACTTCATTTTTTCGTAAATTCCCACTATAATGAAAAAGTACAAACTCTTACCATACTTTTGCATGAACCACAGGGCTTCCACAAAAAGTAAAACAATTGCTATGAACACTTTGAAAATATCACATTCATCATTCTACAAATACATTGAGAAAATTGAAGTTTTTGTTTTTTTTTTTAGTTGGAAGTGTCACTTTTCTACTTTCCTCTTATGACCTACCATTTCTCTCTCATTTCTGCCACAAAGCATAGTTTAATACTATGATGACTCACTGTGTTTATGGAATCTTAACATGCTAAGTGTCAGATATGTACTTTATACCCCTCATACTCCTACATGTATTTGAAAATAAAATAACAGAGATCAGTAAATTGTAATGTTAGTTATTTCTCTAATGTGCTTCCATACAATTCTCCTCAACGTAAACTTAATTCAATAGAGTTCTCTCTTAAATTATGCCATGAAAATACTTTACCAGATAACATCATTTAAAAATAATACAAGATAAGCTTTTCCAATCATGCAAAAAAAGTAAAGGTCCCAGAATTCTAAAGCAAAAAGCTTCTTTTGACCTTGTAACTTGCTGAAATTGGACATTAGTATATGGCTCCATGAGCTTGTGAGTCCAGACAAGTAAACAAGATGGAAGATCTAAGTGCAGACTCTTAGCATACTTTCACTTAAACCACAGGACTTTTGATAAAAAGAGAAAACCAATTGCTATGAACACCTTAAAAATATTATATACATCATTCTACAATATTAACTCAAGCTCACTGTTATTCATTTGAATAAATTTGCTTATTTGTTAAACTTAACACATTGTATTCACCTATTTGCTTGTTTGTTGATGCTGTTTTCTCACTCAGAAGTGTCACTTTTCTACTTTCCTCTTATGACCTACTTTCCTCTCTTGTGCTTGCAACAAAGAGTAGTTTATTACTACGATGACAGGTTTTAGGATTTTAACACACTATTCTTACTTTATACCCTTAATTGTTCCAGGCTACAGGTGATTCAAATAAAGTGTTTGGTTAGCTGATTTCTAACCCTATAAATTATTTTTTTAACTTAAAATAATGAAAATGAAAAAATAGGCAGTCAATTGCTGAAACCTCCTGACGAGTGGACCAACCAATTACAAAAAGGTTTGTCTGGAGTTTGGGTGCTGAATATAGCATCATTCAGCTAAGTGATAAATTTTATATTTGTATTAATTCAATTTAAAAATTACTAAAGATTAAAAAAAGAAAAGTTAATGTTCCCAAACTCAAAGAGTCTGTCCATTCTTTTAACTGCCAATTATTCTCTCTTTTGAATGTAGATTTTTTTTTTTTATAAGAAGCGCCTTTCTTTTGATAAATGTACTTCATGTGTAATCTTGGGTCAGTATGGAAATATTATGCCATATCTGTCATCTAGCAATGGAAATATGTTTTTATCATACCTTTCTGCTTACCTGTGTTGACT